CAAAAAAACCAAATAAACCCCCCAAAACAAACAAAAAAAACCCAAACAAAACCAAACAACCCCCCCAAAAAAAACCCCAAAAAAACCCCCAAACTAAATAACCAAACTAAAATGAAAAAAAAAAAAAAAAGTAAAAAAACCCCATATATATGTGTGTGCTTATCTGCACACATCTCCAAATCTTTAATGGGAAAAAAATAAAAAGCTTGCTTACTCAGAAAAGTAGTGCCACTAAGGTTACAGTAAGAATTGTTGTAATTTATGGACAAGAACATGGGTTTAAGGGCCATTTGCAAAACCAAATCCATGTACTGGGCTGCACTAAGAAGCTTCTTTCCTTGATACAATGCCATCCTCTGAATATCAGGGGTAAGTCATCTGAAGTTTTCTGGCTCCATTAAAGGGCTTCTCAAGAGCAGTCCACAATGTATAAGAACATTAAGCAGAGCTTTAGTGTCTGCAGTGCAAATGCAAATGGGGCTGTTCCTAATGCCCCATATTTCAGTTTGCAGCCCCAGCTCCTGAGTTTGTAACACAAACCCTGCAGTAATGAAAATGAGGCAGAGGAAGCTCACGAGTCTCTTATTTGTGTTCTATTATGAAACTGCCCATCAGCATTTGTTAAAGCCCCAGAAGCACAGCTCCTGAGTATTTATTATCAAGTGGTGTTATCTGTTCCATAATTTAACACTGAAGCTTCATTTCTAACAGCAAACCCCATTTTTGCAGTGGTTGCCTCCTCTGCCACAGCTCCCTCTAAAGAGGAATCTGTTTCTCAGGAGTTTCCCATCCCACAGAAAAATTGGGATAAAAAATTTCCTGACATATTAAGGGAAAACAGAAAAAGAAAGGAAAGGTGCAAAAATCCCTGCTTAAAAGTTTCTTATCTGCATAAAATATAGTATACATGGCCTGAAAAACCATATGTGTCTGTACAAATCCTTATATACAACCTGAGGCCTTCTGGTGCTCAAAGGAGAAGATTTTATAATATTGAAACATCAGTGTAGAGAAATTTTAGAGACTGAACAAAATAGTCTTAAAGAGTAGGGATTAAACTGGCCCCAAATCCATGGCAGTGGGGGAAGGCTGGTTACCTTGACCATTTGAGGTTTTTATTATTTTCTAATTCTTTTCCAAGCAATGACTTTTCCATTGTTCAGGTAGCTGGAAATTCTCAAAGTACCTCAGAACTGATCTCCTGTGTCTGTAGGAACACCCAGCTCTGGCTGAGAAGACATTTGTTCCCCCCGTTCCCTGGAACTAGTCCTCAGAGGTTTGTACAGGTTCTAAATAGCAAAAGCAATATTGTCCTCCAAACCACTTTTAGCTCCAAGGTAGGAGCAAAATTCCTGTTGTGAAACGAGTGATGGATATGCATTTCCAAGGAGTTTATATTCAGAAGGAAAAAATTGTCATCCTTTAAGCCACACTTTGATCAATTTATTCTCCAAGCACTCTGAGTAAATTTATCTGACCTTCCTGTTAATTTTGTCAAACAAAACTTCTGTATGACAATGGCTTCGCTGCTCTGATTATTTCATCCTCTGGAGTCAAATCTTATGATCTTCCTGCAGAAAAGTCTCATATGGGATTCTGAGAGTGTTTGTCCCCACAAGCATTTCAGAATTTTACTTAAAACAAAAGAAAAAGCTGCACCACAAACATTACCATAGAAACAAACTTCCACAGACATAGTTATTAATGAGAAAGAAAAGGAAAACTAATTCATAAAGATAACTCACAGTGTTCAGTCTGTAACAGACACAACTCTAATAGAATAGAAACAGATTTCATTAAGTACTGAACAAACTATCAAAATAATATTACTGTGCCCTTTATTTAAACAGGGCCAACTATAATTGATATGAAGATGAAATAAAAAGCGTGAGTGCAACCTTCAGTATCATCCTCCTGCTTGAATTCATCACATCATTTCACATCAGCCTTTTGCCCAACCACCCTACAATTGTCTCCATGGCATTTTCTCCATCCACTGCAAACGAAAATGTGATCCCAGTAAGTCACCAGGACTGGGAGCAGCAGACCTGATCTGGAAGCTATTTTTCAACAATGCAGCTCTGTGCTCTCTTTGCTATAATCTCCTTTTATATATTAAAAAATACACTACTTCAAGAAAGAGAAACACCTCCTTCACCATAATTGTCTCAGATCCAGACATGTCTGAATTAAGGGCACAATAATTGTGATGAAGGTTTGTCCTTCTCTCTTGCAGCTTGTTACTCCCATGTGTGGCTTCACAGGAAAAACAGCTCAAAGTAAGAACTGTAAGGAAGATCCAGACTAAATTCCACTCTTTGTGGACTGCCTTCACTGCCTTCAACATCTCCAGGGATCCACAAATTCATCCTAATAATCAACTTGCCACTGGGTCCTGCTGCAAATTCCAGAAAGCTCCACAGCACAGAGCTTTGCTTTAGTTCTTCGGTGTCCTGCTGTTGACATTGATATCCACATCCTGATAACTTATTTCCAAACCCCTTAAAAGATGATTTTTTTCTTAGAACTTGACCTCTCACGCTAAACTACTATCCTAGTGAGATTAGGATAATGTATTTAAAAGAACAAAACAAATCCAGAACAGAGAATTGTTCTACATTTACTCTTATTTGCACCAATGAAGTAGATTTTAACTTAGGAACGAACATTTAAAAGAGTCTTTAATGGGCTGGGAAGTTCGGTCGTGGATTGTATTTCTCTGATTGCATTAGATACAAAAGATTTTATATATATAATAGATATATAATATAGATCTACCATGTTAAAGTATTAAATTACTTCAAATACTTGGCAAAAAAAGTATTCAGCTCAAATACTCGGCATTCGACTTCTCAGTACCAGCAGAACTAAAAATAGGAATCTCTCTGATTTAACAACTCTGGTGGACCAAATCATTCTGCTCTCCCTCCACTGTTAACATCCACATTCATTCTCCAGTTTTATCACTGGATAAAGAAAAAATATGAAGATACCAAGGAGGAAATAAAGCAAAATGCACTATTCTGTACTTTTGGAAAAAGTAATACTTAAAAATTCATACATAGCCCTGATTTCTCAAGAAGGCAGAGCTTGTACACAACAGAAGCTGTGCAAAACCATGGTAAGTAAATGAATGTTCTGAAACAAACACACTTTGTTCATATTTTTTAAAATTTTATTTGAGATTTTGTACACTGCAAATTTGCATTTGTATATAAATCTTTGCCTATTAAAGATCCTTTTCAAATAATGCTTGTTTGGTGCAAGTAACTTACAAATGAAGGGCAAGATGAAGAATTGTTTATAATGGTTCCTATTGAATCCCACAACAGACCCCTTCAAGATGTGATTCCTCACATGCTGTAATTTCAATATGCTCATAAATATCAACTGGGAGAGCTACAAGCCACTTTAGTCTATTTTTTGGAGAATATCCAAGAAAAAAAAACAAAGCAAAAGGTAGAAATTAAAAATAAATACATAAATAAATAATGGGGATGCAGAAGATGAGTGCATTTTGTCTCTGTCAGACCCTATCACATCCCTCCACATGTTCCCTGCCTGTCATTCCCATGTTTTATATCTCCACTATTCTCTTCCCAGGCAGGAGCAATATTGTCCAGGTTCAGACACTTTCCTCAGCACTGAGAGAAGATCATCACTGTTCCATAACACAACACCCTGGAAAGCACATTTTTCTTCTGACAGGCTGCAAGTTCAGGACTTTTTTGGAAAGAAAGAGGTAACCGAGGCCCTGATTCTTCAAAGCTTTCTTCACACTGTCCCTTTTAGTACCTCCTGCTATGTGCAGTTATAAAGAGAGATGAGAGTTCCCCGAGCCCTTCACTGTAGCAACACTTCCACAATGATTTCAAAATAAAATATAAATAAAAATCACAAAAGTCACCCAGTAAAACACAGATGACAGATACCCAAATTCTTGTACGGTCTTAAAGTGCCTGGGAATGAAATTTTTATCACTCTCCATACAATCTTGTATAAAGTTGCTGCTTTCTACAAGGACCCAATTAGATCTTTCATCCACTCCTGCTGAGAGCACAGAAATCCAAATCTCAAGGGCTGAGACAGAGAACTGCTCTGCCCAAACCTGGTTTGCAAGTGCACAGAAATCCACCTTATCATGAAGTTCCAATACTGGAACAGCAGAGAGAAAAAATTCATGTATGAAAAATGAGCCCAGGATGCTTTTGTGGTGAAACACATGTATCTATAGATGTTACATGTGAAACAGGACTGAAGAAGGATTTTTTTTCCTTCTGCTTCATGGCCATGCATATTCATGTATTTAAAATACAAGCAAATGGATGAACAACTGGACAGTTCAAAAGGATCCGTGTTCAGTGGGCAGGGACAGTTGTCAGATCTCTGGATGTGCTTTAATTGCAGAACACACTCCTGGTCATCTGACACAGCAAACTGCCCATTGACATGGTCATTTTTCAGGGCATTGTAGCAGGGGTGCCCAAGATCTTCCACAGGCTGTGTCAGACACATCCCAGCCTGGACAGATGGCCCCAGACTGGCTCCCCTGGAAGCTGCAGAGACAGCCCTGGACCCCTCACTGGGGACAGCTTGGTCCCCTCCCAAGGCTGGGATGTGGCACAAAACATGGGAATGGCAGTGCAGGACCATGGCACCCACCTCCCTTTGGGAAGGGAGGACAGACAAGATGGGGAGAGACACGTTTGAGACAAAACATCCCACAGCTCCAAAGAACAGACAGAAATATGAGTATCAATGGCATAAACCAGAGTCCTGCCACCCACCTCTGCTCATTGTGCCTCAGCTCCCATCCAAGGCAGCCATTCACACAGCCCTGCTGTCCTTGTTTCACAAGGTTTCTGTTAAAAAAAGAAAGTGAGGAAAGTGAACATGAAAAAAAGCAGCTTTTTGATTCCTCAACGTGCTGCCAATGAATGTTTAATGAATAAATTTTGAGTTTCTTCTCTGTGCTGCAGCACTCTCCCCACACTCACCTATTTATTTTTTTTAAAAAAAGCAGGAAAACAGATAATATTATTATTTCCTAAGGATTTAAATTATAGAAGAAACCTCTTTCACATCGGAGTTTCCCAAATCCATATTATATTTTGAACAAAACCCTCAGATTTTATATCATTCCTTCTCATTTCTGCTGTCAGATGCACCGTGGCATTAGGCTTAAAAGCCAGACAGCAGCACTGCTCCAAAGGCAGCACAGCAAACAAGAAAAACAATTACATTTTTTATGTTTACAAGGGAAAATCTGCTGTAAATAACCATGTAAGTAGATCTTGCTGTGGGTAGGTGGGATCTGAGCATCAAGAAGAACCAACTGGAAGGAACAGCAACCAACAGGGTAGAGCTGAAAGGAGAGAAAAGTAGAATTAGCCAAGCTATGTCATAGAGGAAGAGAAAGGAAAAAAAGTAATAAAAAGTAAAGAAATCCTGCTAAGAGAGATTGGAGGTTGTGGAACGTGATGGAACAAGAGAGTAGGTCACAGCTCTGGGCTCTTCCTGCTGCTCTGCATTTTCTCTACAGTTTTTGATCTTTCTTCAGAGGTTTGATTCCTCATTTATTAAATCATTTGCAAGAGATTGTTTCACACTGACAGCACTGACTCTGGAATACCCAGACTGGAAGGACTTCCAGCTCCACCTCCAGTGGAGGAAAAACTGTGCCTGCGAGACCTGAGAAACCAGACCAAAGCAAAGCAAGGCCACGACTGCTTCGGACCCCACCCAGCAGAACAGTTCTCAGAGGGCTGAGAGGTCCTTCCTCCTTGGGCTCCTGATCCAAAGATATTCCTTTCTCTCTGACCATGTCCAGTGCTGGATTGTCTAAACCTGCCAACAGCCACCTCTCCAGCAGTGGGAATGTGCCAGAGAACTTTGAAGTCCTGGGAGAGAAGTCCCAGCTTAGTTTAGCCCAGTCTTTCTCACATCCTCATTCCTCTCCCAAGTGTCCTCCCTTTGGAGAAGAGACCATCTGAGCAGAGATGAGCATGGCCTTATCAAGGGCAAGGAAAATATTAAGTAATAGGAAATAAACCATGAAAAAGGAGCCACACTGTAGGTTTCTACTTTGTTAACCCACCCTGGCATTTAGAGATAATACAATATAATACAATAAAATACAATAACACAAACAGCAGCATGCATTACTAAATGTTTTGTCAGTAGAGTCATTCAAAATAATCACATTTTACTCTTTTTTTCTTTTTTAACATTCATAAAGGCTTCATAGCATAAAACTCCTCCAGTTCCACTCAAATCTTACGCTGTCTGATGAAAGCTCTCACCATGAGGAAGAGCTGGCTATAGATCATTCCCTAATCATAGCCTGGCATTAAAGGTTGTGAGAAATCAATTATAATCACTATTAAATAAGGGGGTCATCATTAATATGGTAGTGGCCTTGACAAAAAAGTGTGTTAAGAGCACAAATGCTAAATATAATTTCATCCAGATAACTCTCCTGTGATCTGTATAAATGTGGGAAGCTGAAAGAGAAAGGAAAACCATCACTGTATGAAAGTCTACAGTGATGAATAAAAATGAAGTTTATTTAACAATACCTGACATGACATCATCACTGCAATGAAAGTCTTGCCTATAACTGAATAGAAAGATCACTGGAAGCCATGAAGTCATCCTACAAATAATGAAAATGCAAATAACCCAACAATTTTAATGTCCATCATCAAACATCAAATGGCAGTGTTTAAAGTCTCCAATTGGCCATTTAAACTTGTACTTTTATTTTATAAAGCTTTACTAAAATAGAGTTTTTTTGTACTATATATACAGTCACATATCAACTCCTGCTAAATAGAAAGGGTAACAAAACTACAAAACAACTGCATCCTTTTACCTCTCCCCACTCCCTCCTCACCCCCTGTCTCATGTTCTATTTGCTGTTAAGTTTCTTCACAGACACCAGGCTCCAACCTTCTGCTCTGGAATACTTAAAATGAAATCCACATAATTTCATTGCTAAATTCTGGTTTAGTTCATCTTACAGTTTACAAAACCCCTAAGAAATGTACATCTGACAATAATTCCACAACACAAAACTGTGCCACGTGCCAACCGTAGGATCACTAGTAAGATAAATCAGGTTATTTTAGTATCCATCTTAGATTTTTGCTGTTATTCTACCATAAATTCAAAGTCTTGAAGCCAAGAATGCACCTTCAGAAGAAAACAGTGACAACCAAGGAATTCTAAAGGAATAAAGGAATGGCTTTATTTCACTTCACATTTTATTTCCAACAGACTTTTCTGAAATGTTGGTGGACGTTTTGCTTCTGTGGTTTTTTGGTTTTGGTTTTAGATTTCAAACCACTTATACAGATTATGAACTGAGCAACTAGAGAAAAAACCAAAGTCACATATTTTAAGGAACACTCAATTCTCCTGTATGGACCAAGAGATTCTATAGAAGGTCTAGATAATAACTGTGATTCTTTTTTCTGCCAGCACAGTAAGTACTTTTCTTCCATATCTGACCCAATAGAACCACACTGAGTGTTTCCTCTTCTCTTGGTGTTCCATTGATGTAACACTTCACACACACAGAGCTCCTTCTCAGACAGGTCCCCACTTTTCAAAACTTATTCTCTGAAATGAAATTAATTCATAACAACCTAAAGGTACTTTCTTATGCTTTTAAATTACAGAAAAACTTCCCTCAGTGGTGCCTCTACACTCCTATGTACACTCTTGATGTTGTAGTCTGAGATATAATTTCATATGCAGAAAGACCACCCTCAAAAGAGGGCAATTGAACTGCAAACAGCAGCACTTGCAATGCCAAACATCTCCTGAGGAAAGCAGGGCTGAGCCAACAGATCCTTCTGTTTGAATCCTTGCTCCTGAACAACGAGGATCTTAAAGGACTGATTCTTACAAGCTCCTCCTGCACAATCAATCAGCAAAACACTCCTTTGCTCTTTCAAATATCAAAATGAGGAAGTGTGGTTTTATTCCACAGATGGGAACAGCCTTGGTGTGTGAGAACCCCCAGGGCAGGTGGAATGTCTGTGCACCCAGAGGGACCTGCAGCCCAGCCAGAGGGGAGGTGCAGGAGAAGGGTGCCCTGAGGATGGAGAGCCAGACCTGGAGCACTTGGCCTGTCTGAGTTCCTTCCCAGCCATTGGTGTCTCATCTTCACACACAGGAACTGTTCCCTTCACCCTGGACGGGATATAGATTAAGAAGTGCTGCAAACACACACTGGAGTCAAACAATGGCACAGTTTCTCATTCCAAAGGACGTTTTAAAGCCATTCTCCCTCACCAAATATCAGCATAGGCTTCTGAAGTGCTCCTGGAATCAAACTTGTGTCACTACAGCCACAAGGCATTGTGCTGCCCACAGTGCTGGATCAGCTGCCTCGCTGGGAAGGCTGGGAGCAGGATTTCCTTGCTGCAAAGGTTTTCTTTCCAGGGTATATAATTTTGCCTTTCACTCCTCCTGAAAATTACGAGGCAGTCTAAAAACATCCTCCACTCCTGTTTGTTGGGTGAGGATCCCTTTTACAGCAGCACTCCTTCCAGACAGAAAGGCAGCATTAATTCAATAAACAGATAAAAACAAAATTCCTGGTTTCTTCTCAGTAAATACAAATTTTGATTTTTAATCAACCTTAAAAATAGAATTACTTTTAACACATCTATTAAAAGCAATGAATTAGCAGAATAAAAATGAAGTAATTAGGTACGTTATGATTTTTTGTTTACGAGCCCTAATGAAAACCAGTAAATCTTGACATGTTGTGTCTCAACACGCAGAGCTCGTGGCCTTGACCCTGCAGTGTCTGTCACGGCCCTGCTGTCAGAGCCACCATCTCCAGGGCTGTGTGAGATCTTGTATTTAGCTCAACCAACTAGTCAGTGCAGGATGGTCATTTTGGGTTTAAAATTACCTAATGTTTCACTTTCCCCGGACACAATTAGCTTGATTAAATAAAGGTATTCATATTCATAATATTACTTTAAAAGGCAGGAATAAAACCAGCCATTTACATACTTTCAGACCAACTTCTATTCCACTGAAATTTTGATAATGGCTCATGTGGGCTTGAATTAAACTTCTATTTCCCCATCAGCTCTGTTTAGATTCTGTTTTCATATGTTGCAGAATTATGCACCTATAATTAGTTTGAAATCTTACATAAATGGGCTTAATTTCAGAGTCTCAAGAGAAAACAAGAGCACATTATTTACCTCATTCAGCAATAAATGGAGGTAAGCACAGATTCTAGTTACTGATTCCATAAAAAACAGGATACTTATTTAAAACAGGCAATTTCTCTTGGTTTTTTGTGCCAAGCATCAATGTGGAGAGGACCTGCTACAATAACAGCAATGATGAGCAAAGGTCCCCCTGAATTTAGGTTTAATCATACTTGACTGATTGAAAAACTAGCCATGCTATTCAAATGAAATAAAAAGAGGGGGCCAAGGGGAAGAAGTAGATGAAAAAATAGTTAACACAGTATCCATTTGAGAACAGAAAATCATATTTCTTTAGAAACAAAGTGATTTTGTGCTGCAGATTTAACCCGGATGGGGGAGTTATGCAGGATTTGGGGGGAGGAAAAAGTGGGGCCTCAACAGCCCAGGGAACTGTGACCCATCAACTTCTGCACTTCCTGAGCTGCTCTAGGGCCACACCCTGCTCTGCCCACACTGATCAGAGACAAAGCTGTGCAAGGCCAGGCAGCAGAATGCAGCAGACACAAATCAGGATTAATTCTGATCCAGGGGAAAGGTGTCTCCTGAGCCCATGTTGCAATGAATAAGGCCCCACGTCAGCAAGACAACTCTTTAATTTCATGTTTAAACAATGTATAAACATATCAAATTCATTCATGCATGGTGGCACATCTGCTGCCTCAGCAACATGCACACCTTTTCAATACTAGAATTTGGAATAATAGATTCATCTTCAAACACTGGTTTTCCAAAATAGCCATACTGCAAATCCCATCGACATCTGGAATATTTAATTACCATCACATTGATCCATAAAGTCCCTGGAACACCAAGGTTCAACTTCAAACATATCAGCACAAGCAGTGAAAAAGTTGATTCCAAATGTGACTCATGGACAGGGAGTGTTTTTGAGAACATCATTACAAAAGGCAGAATAAAGATCTCAGAGATCCAGGTCTACTCCAGTTTTCATCCAGTTCTCCAGATGAGCACACACAGGACAAGCCCAGAACATGTGAAGATTTTACCACACTTCATGTGTGTCCACTCAGATGGACCAAACATCTTTTCAATGATAATTATCTCAATCCAATACAGTTATTTCACAAAAAAATGAAACAAAGCTCCACATAGAACAAAAAACTGGTCACTTTGCTTGGAACTTAATGTCTAAACCTTTGCTTTTCCTAATCTAGGTTCACTATTTTGCTGCTGAACAATTTAGTTTTCATTTTTGTCGTTGTATTGCAGATGGATTGCAGGCTTGGATAACAACATAAACCTGGTTAATCAACTTTCATGTCATATTTATGCTGCAACAGGGAGGTTTTACTGTGGTCTGCACTTTACCAATGCAACTGTGGAATACAGCCAGAGGTTTATGTACCCTTAAAACTGCAAGCTGCAGCCCACTCTGCCACCAGTGACTCTGAGTCTGCTACTGACAACAATCTCTTGGCTTTGCCAAATACAGATTCAGTTAAATTTAATTAAAATGACAAAAAACACCACCAGAAACAACCCCACCCCTCCATCAGGAAAATGTATGAATTCTCAGACCTACTGGTTTCCTGGTGATAGAGAAACCAGTTAAAAGTCAAGAAACATGTATTTCTTAATTAATTTGTTTTGGCATCACTACCTCATTCTTAATGCAAGATTTGGGCAGAATAAAGAAATCCCTTTTATAGAAACTCCAGTGTGACTGTAACTGATATATTTTCATAGTGCTGCTTTGGTTTTACCAGAGTTATTTTCCCCAGAAAGCTGAAGGACTTGCATGGAGAAAACCCCCCACAACCTGTCAAAAGCTGGTATGGCATTCTGTGATCCCTAAATCACTTGTGGACATTTATGGCAGCAGTAAGTTAGTAATTAAAAATCAAATTCTATGGCTGTTCAGAAAAGTCAGGACTCCGATAGCAGATGACAATTAACAGCAGATATTTGAACCACACCAATTACACAGAGCTTGCAATTAACATTATTACTCATAAATTATAATGTATAATGTGTTTTGCCTGACATGACCAAGAAGCAGAAGAATGGAAAATGACTCACATTTCAGCAGCTGGCTTTGCTGAAGCAAACTGGGACAGGAACTGGAACCAGTCCAGGTCACCCCCTCCACAAGGGCAGCACCAGTGGCCTTTGACCAGTGCAATCCAATACAGGGCTCTGGGGTTTGTTTTTCTTTTGGTGTGTGCTTTGAGGTTGGTTTGGTTTGGTTTTTGGGGGGTTTTGTGTGGTTTTGTGTGCTTTGGATGTTTGTTAGTTTGGGGGTTTTATTACGATGCAGTTTAGCACAAATCAAGTTCCTATGGAGATTATATGTGGTATAATTTAGATTAATAACTGTAAATGATTTGAAGGTTTAACGCAATACAACATTACTTGTCATAACCTTGAAATCCAGAGGCAGTTGACACCTGTCATAGTAGGCACAGCAGATTTTTCTCCCAGGAAGAAGCATTTTCCCTTTCCCAATGATAAAAAATAAAACTGCAACCTTATTTATAATCTGAAAATAGTTGTAACATAGGAGGCTAGAAATTCATCAGCAATACAGGACTAAGTATTATCTGCAGTCCTGGATTAGTTTGGTTTGAAGGAGAATGGGAAGGCACAAACCCCCTGTAACCTTGGGGTGGGAGGATCATTTGAATTGGCTCCAAATTTGGACACTTTCCAGTGGCTGCAGCAGCAGTGGTTTAGCAGGGTAAACTGAAGGGACTAGAAGAAAGATTTTCTCAGACAATTATAAAAAACCTTTTAATCATGTGGCTCTGAATGTTGAGAGGAGCACATTGCTATCTACAAATTGCTTAAACCCCTTCCTACAATAGCAGTCCCTGATATTTCATTTTCCTGTTCTTTTCCTCCCTCCATCAATTCTTTGTTGTACTTTTTAATGCCAGCTGAACCCAGGTCATAGTGTCTCAATAGCTCATCTGAAACTCGTAACATTTTATTATCACAACAAATTTTAGCCTTTCAGCTTTCTAAGAAGATGCACCAGTTTATATCAAAATAGTTATTTTCATAACTGAACTACTTTTATTATGTTATGTTTCAGTTAATGCTTTTAAAGTGCAATTCAATTGTCAATAAAGCCTTTAAAAATCGTTATTAAAAAAAAATTATTCTTATAGAATAAAGTCCACTCTAAGTAATAAAACTGCTTTAAATTTAGTTCCAGCTCCTGGAACTAAACACCTGGCTGAGGTGCCACCTTGTTCCAGGCACTCAGGTTGACATTATATTTATAACTGCTACACTGCAGTCAATTCTGGGACAGTAAGACAAGGTCTAAATCCTCTGACATAAACAATAGCTATAGAAAGCTTCACCAGGATGAAAGTGGAGTTAATTTAATCAAGGAGAAAGGTCTGCTTTGTGAAAATATTGTATTGAGCCAAAAGGTGATTTGTTCCAAACAGCCAGCCCAGGACACATTGGGCTGAAGGCACCAGCCCTGCTCCCCTGGCTGAACAGTGACCTCAGGGGAAGGGACACACATCCCCACAACAGTCAGGGAAAATACTCCACTCCAGCAGGTGTTGGTGATTAGTTAATGACCAAAACAAGAACATTAATCATGCATTTATTATTAAAACAAAACCTACTTTTGTCACAGTCTGAGTGATGATGTGAGAACAAACTGGACACCCCTTGCACACCAAGTAGCACCTTTGCTTCAGGGGATGAAGCCACACTAACCCAGCTCCAAACAGGAACAATAAGAAACATTTCCTCAAGTCTCTTACCCTCCCCACCAGTCACCTTGTCCTGCTGTGCTCTGCCACTCTCTGTCTTGCTTGTCTTTTTTCCCCTCGTTGCTGCTCCACCCTCCTTCCGTATCTATCCCCCTAAAAACACAAGATCTTTATCTTTTAGAATTGCAAGCATGTTATTCCCACATCATCACAGGAGCTGAGCAGTGCTCTCCTCCTTTGTCATCAGCTGAGACAGTCAGCTCCTTGCACCAGAGAACCTAAATGTGTGCAAACCCAGCACAAAACTCTCATCTTTGGGACAACCTAAAAGTTATTAGTGCACACTTATTAAATTTAGCAGCATAATTGTGGTTCAGTAAGGATTCACCTTCAACTCCAAAAATAAACTCATTTGATGCATCTTGTCTTTAAAGTAAAAAAGACCCCCTGCATGCTCCTTTTGGAGCCCTTTTTGCTCAGTGTTCAACAACAGGGAGCTGGTGAGAGATTTCCAGTTCCAGGTCAACAATTTTTCCAGGACTGGGGGCTGCAGAATTGTCAGTTTTTGATGCACAGAGACATTCTTGCTGTGTGCTTTCATTTTTTACTGACCCATTAAGCCTAAGAAATCCTATTAGAAATAATAGGAAAACCTGCCTTGCAAAGCCCTGTTCTCTTCTGCTCCTACATCCTCATTTCCACAATGGCCTCATTGCATCATTTCATTCCAAATTCTTTACAACCTTCCTGCAATACAAATTCTCTGCCCTCTGAAAATGGAACTCCTGGATTTAACAAATCCTGAAGGGAAGAGGTTCCATCATGGCTTGATGAAGACTGAGAAATACTGTTTTAAAGCTTCAGTAGAGTTTCAGCCATGGAATGTGGCTGCTGCTCAGCTTTCAACCAGGAGCAGGGAGGATGTTACTACCCCTGGTGCCACACAGGTGGGATTGTTACAACTGAGAAATGACTAAAAAAACACCAACCAACAGACAGAAACCAAAAGCCCTGCCTACAAGGCTCAGTGGATTAAGAATTCTGCTGTTAAAAATTTCTTTTCTAGAACTGGACCAATAAAGATACATCTTCAGTATTGTGTACGTTCTAAACTCTCATTGCTTTTGCCTTTTCTTCACTTTTTTTTCTTATTAGTTCTGGTGAGATATTTCTTTAATCATAAAGAATATAATATACTTAGAGTACCTGAATGGTAAAGGAGAGTTACAGAGCTTACTAAATCACACTACATCTAAGGAAGTCTTGATTTTGTAACATGAAAAAAAAATTATACTGTAATTTTACAAGGGTTTTTCCTGTGATCCTTATTCAACCTTGCAGTATATATAACTCAATTCACCAACAAATTAAAACCTTAACTCATACCCAGGCTCCATTACAATAACTATTTTTAATACCTGGATACAGAGTATTAGGGGTTGTTTCTCCTCTTCATGTCTAAGGTTTAATCCTAAAAAGCAGCCATGAAAAAAGGAAACTTCAGACTTTCAAAGTATGTTCTTAGGGGAACATTATGTTAAGCCAAACAAACACTACAGGTACAGTTTCTTAAAATGTCCCCTCAAGTCTCCATGCCAAAGCTCTCCACTGAAGCCACAGGAATTCTGCTACAGCTTCAGACCAGACTGAGGATTGAACTTTTTCATGGCAGCAAACACAGTCCAGGAGCACAAACGTGGTGCTGATCTCGTTCCCGTGGGTATCAAACCCCCAGCAGCTCAGTGTCTGGGATGGGCTGTGCTGCACAGTCCCAGAGCCTCATGAACACTGGGATCTGGATAATCAGCCTCAGCAGCTCATGTTGGGAGGAAAGAAAACGAGAATCAGAAAATAATATAGTCCTCCCTGGTGCTGAGGACTAAGCACAACATTTTGGGGAGTTTAGAACGCCGGGGAATTCATAATTAAACATCTCCTAAGTAGGAGAATTAGTTGCTTTAGAGCAAAGAGGCTGTCATGGGAATCAACAAAGAACAGCAACATGAAATACCGAGATGCCTCTTGAAATCCCCTGCCCCTCCAGAAGCTGAATATTTTATTGGGGAGGCAACAAAGGAATCATTTTCATAAAAGAGTCATAAGTTTGTCAGAATGTTTTTGCCAAACAACAGTGATAATAATGCAAGTATTGATTCCCTTTTATTAACAACTCAGGATAAGTGCAGAGTGCATAACACTCAATATCAACTTCCAACAATCCCCCAACTCCAAGGCAGAGTACACTAGACTATGCAGTTACTTGAGTAGTTGGTTCTCAGGTTTTGATGTTGAATATTCTGCTGTTTTTCTAATGGAAATGCCCTCCTTTTTGTCTCACATTTCTGTCTGATCCACAAGTCTTTGCATAACTCAAACCAGCTACACATGGGCCAGAGCAGAGCCAGAGCCACACTCTGCCACAGCCACTCAAGGCAGCTCCTCCTGTTGTGTGTCAATATTAATAAACCAAAGAAATTCAACTATTTATAACCACTTATAATCTAAAACAGTGTGCTGGTTTAAGAGTCAACCAGCAGGGGAAATGAACTCAACTCAAAGGAGAGACCACAAGTCAGAATAACAATTTATTAAAACAACACAGCAAGCACAATCACACAAACAAACAATTGGTCCTAACCCACAAAACCCACATGTACAACCTGGTACCCTGGGGCATGAACAAAGTGGTGTTCCCTGGGCCCCGCTTGAGTCCAAAGTAAAGGGAGAGGGGAGAAACCTGCTGGTGGGAGAGCTGTTGCAGGCTGGTCAGAAGCGGTGATTGAAGTCCAGCAAAGGTCGAGAGCGACGAGCTGCAGTCTTCCTTCTGGATCCCACGAGCGGGTCCCAAAGTTCTGGAACTCCAGGTTTATATATTCTTCAGTTCAGGCAGGAATGGTCAGTTCTTCCCTCAGGGAGTTCCATAAAAGGTAAAAGCATCCTCTTATCTCACAGGCCTCTTAACACCTAGTTTATAGCCTGAGGAGTCAGGCTCTTATGGGCAGAGGGTGCGAATAGTCTATTGCCATAAAAGGTAAGAGGATCCTCTTATCTCACAGGCCTCTTAACACCTAGTTTATAGCCTGAGGAGTCAGGCTCTTATGGGCAGAGGTGCTAATAGTCTATTGACAACAGTTTCTGGGAAATGGCATGGAAGGCTATAGAATACACAGTTTTGGGTTACACCCATACCATGATGAACTCAGCTGTCCTAACTAGGACAAACAGTTTCAGTAAAAACGATGCTGTTTAAATCACTGATGTATTTAAAATACATTTCACTTACACTGTTAAATCTGTCTCTATTTTACTGTGTTTTTATAGTCCTTCCCTTGACATCAGTGTCACTGACAGGCATTAACCATGTGACTAGTTTTCTGAGACCAGAGAGTTTTTAATTTCAGCTATTTATTGCCACCTCCTT